GCCCTCTTCCATTAAGGGTATGTGAGAGAGAGACGTACAAACAAAAGGGTTTAGGGTTGGTATAGTAAAGGACTTTAGTACAAGAGATGCTGTCTCATTGGTTATGTAATTTTGGGTACAAATTTTGGGATATGGGCAGCTACTTTGGAACGAAGCCATTTAATAAAATATGGAGTAAAAACTTTTACACTATGCTCCAATATATGATCTATAAACTATATTATCTACACAGACTTTGACACTTATATTTATTTATAAATATATATAAAAAATACTTGACTCTTTAATCGTTTATATTATTGTCCTGACCACCATTATATATACGAGAGAAAAATGTAAAAAACAAGTTTTTTCTTTTTAAATAATGAGTTGTAAAATTTTGAATAACCGTGAGGACAAGATTTAGTTGCAGCCAAATATTTTTGGATATAAAATAATATTTAGATACTTACCAATAGGTCTCTTTCTATTTACCATCATTAAAAAATGGGATTTTTTTTAAATAATGTTTTTATTTAAACTTATTTTTAAAATAATGCTGCATTAAATAAAATTAACAAAAAAATGCATTTTTTGAAATTTATTCCAATGCTTTCAAAATTAATCTCTCACTTGGTCATCTCTTGAAGAAGAAGGAAGAAAATTGAACTATCATCCACTGCGCCACTATTTGGTTTACTCCAAAAATTTCTACTTTTTAATATATAATATAATAAATAATAATATTTATTATTTCCCAAAAATCCAAGTGGTTCCATCGTCTCCAAACGGTCTTGGGATGTATTCTAACACATGGTCGTCTCTTCAAGAAACGACAAAATCAGACGAGGCGCCAATAAAGCGCCACGTCCTTCCAACTAATAAAAGTGACATGGTCGTCTTTTGAAGAGACAACCAAGTAGGGGATTAATTTCGAAAGCATTATTTTTGGAATAAATTTCAAAAAATGTATTTTTTTTTGTTAATTTTATTTAACGCAGTATTATTTTAAAAATAAGTTTAAATAAAAACATTATTTAAAAAAAATCCTTAAAAAATGTCCAGCTAGTTATTTTTTGAAAAAGAAAATATATTTTCTCTCTTTTCATTTATACATTTCTATTCCTTAGTTGCCCATTTTTGAATGGTATCTATAAATAATTACGTATATAGATATTATTTATATATTGATGAGAAGTGGTTGCATAATTTGATATGTTGGCATTCATTGATTTGACCAAATATTATTGTATTCAATGGTTAGTACGTTGATCAAGAAATTAATTGTTTAAAACTTTATTTTCCCGAAGGACATTACAAAAGACAACCATTTGAAGAATTCGAATTTCGAAATATGGGTTAAGATAAATAAGTATATATAATATTAAAATAATTTGGGTTGAATTGAATTGATGGAACTTGAAATAGTGAGCAAAAAGGGTATAAAAGAAGCTAGGGTTAGGTTGCATGCCCATGTGCCACATGATAAAAAAAAAAAAGTAAACATTTTTATCTTTTCCAAGTCAATTTTAATGGTACAAATAATGTCCTGATTTGCCCCCTTGGTCTCATTGCCAGCTTGTATGTAACACTAACAAGAAAAAGCTTTGCTTCTCTCTTACAATACCCAAAAAAATAAAAAATAAAAAAAGTGAGAACAAATAAGAAAATCTCTCTAAGAGTTGTGGGAAAAGGTAGTTTTGGTTGGCTAGGTTCCTTTGGGTTAGTATATATAGCTACGTTATCGTCTATTTTGAGTTTAAGATTGTATTGATAATACCCTTTAGATTTATTAAGCTAGCATTGCAGATTTAATTTATTCGATTTTGTTTCTAATAAGTTTCTTTCCTAAACACTGTTAGTTGAATTAATAAGAAAAATTTAGCATACCATGATAAGTGATGGTACGATTTTAATAAACTAGATACATGCATAAAATAAGGGCGGTTAGATCCAACATCCACGCTCACTCACCACCTTTTCAATTGAAATTTATAAAAACTTGAAGAACTAAAGTAACAAAAAGGTCAATATAACATGCATAAGTACACAAATTCTTTAAACAATTATTCATGAGCCAATTGTTCCTTTTGATTGTGATTGAAGGGTAAGACTTGAGAGGTGTTGAATTATATATACACTTGTAATTTTTCATGTTTATAGTGAAAACTACAGTGAGTTTATAAAAAGACAAAAACGTCATAAAAATAGGAACCATTCATATTATTAAAAGAAAGATTCAAACTTGCAAAAATTAATCATTTCATATAAGACAATCAATTAATCAAACTTGCAAAAAATTTTAAAACAATGGATTTTCTTTTTTTTTGGTTTATCATCACTTTCGCTACTTTTGCAGCATAGTCAATTACTCGAGATTCTCGATTGAAATGTACAACTTTTTAATTGTTAGCTATGGTTTTCTTTTCTCTTTTTTTTTTCCACTTGATTTAAGTGTTACAAATGTCACACCGCCAACGTTAGTCAAACATTTTGATAATTTGAAGATGTACAAATAGAAACTCAAAATAATTTATTATGAATTAAAAAAAGACCCTAAATAAGAATGAGAAATTCAAATAAAATAAATAAAAATCTCTTTTGACCACAAGGCCAACTCCCAAGTTTTCCAACCACCATCTTCCATGCCACATCCCAATCACTCCTGATACAGATTTCATTTTCCCTCCCCATCTAGTAAAATCATTGCAAACTAAAAATTAAAAAAAAAAAAAAAAGAAACCAAATTAATAAAAATAAAAATAAAATAACTTGAAGAAATACAAAGGGAATTGGAAGAATTGGACCACTCCCCTCCCTCAATCACTGAATTTCCCTTTTTTATGCACATTTTGAAGGAGGCCCCACCAACATTCACCATCTTCTGAGCCCTTAACGCCTGTTTGTTTCCCGAGAAAATTCATTTTCACAGACGAGTCTTTTTCTATGGTGTGATGACTCTTGGTGGGGTTCTCGACTCCGCCGGCGGCGTGTTGACGTCGGAGCCCTTGGAAGGGTCATCGGAGGACTGGCGCAAGCCGTCGTCGGTCTCGCTTCTGTTCATATCCTCGATCATCCGTACAACTTCGGGCATGGCCGGACGCTGATCGGGGACCGTGGAAACGCACGACATTGCGATCTGCAGCAACTGAACCATCTCTTCTTCAATGTTGTGGAATCGCAAGAGCTCGGCGTCGAACACCTCGGCGGTCCATTCTTCCCGGACGACGGACTGGACCCAGCGGGGAAGGTCGATTCCTTCCTCTCCGAGGGAGTGCTGATTGGGGGCCTTTCCGGTCAAGAGCTCGAGAAGGAGAACGCCGAAGCTGTAGACGTCGGATTTGAAGGTGACTTTGCGGGTCTCGAGGACCTCCGGGGCACGGTATCCGGCGACCCGGTTGGGCGGCGTGGCGGTGCCGAAGAGAGGGTTGAGGCCGAAGTCGGAGATGCAGGCGTCGTGGTCGGGGCGGAGCAAGACGTTGGATGACTTGATGTTGCCGTGAACCACCTTGCCGGAGATGTGGAGGTGGGCCAGCCCCCTGCCGGCGCTCACCGCTATTCTCATTCTTGAATCCCAGTCCAGCGGGGTCCGCCCGGACCCTCTACTCCCTGCGCCATCAAAATTGTTAACATTACACTTTCGTAATTTAACAAAATCTATCAAAGCTGAAAATCCTATGTTGGAACTCCTACACTTTCATTATGAATTTTAAGGAACGAGTGGGGAGGACAATAGTATCCTCGTACAACCAAGTATCTATACAGAGTATAACTCTCAAAGACTTCATACTAGTGGAGATAATTGTCTCTCTTATATATCTATGATTTCTATTTTATTTAACCAGTGTGAGACTTTGGTTGCATTTCCAACGACGAGAAAGGGAGCCAGAGTTTGGAGTACTACTGAAATTCGGGTTTTGTTTGAAATATTTCTAGCTTGACAAATCCACCCTATAAATAGAAATTCGACATCTTAACCTAAATCCACTTAAATCTAACCCCTCCCAAACACCTATACGTTGGATTTGTGAGGAGAATGCAAACAAAATCTCATGTTTATTCGACGTGGAAATGATCCATGACATATAGATGAAGATAATTATCTCAATTGGTACGAGACATTTTTGAATGAAACTAAAAACAAAATCATAAAAGTTATATCTAAAGCAAACAATATCAAGTTACGACAATCACTTGATGGTATGGAATTTGGAATTAGTTTGTGTGTGCAAGATTTTGGCAGTGAAGGAAGGGGGAGGAGTGGGGACTTTTGTGGAAAGGGGAAAAAGAATGGCAGGGCCAAATTGTACTGGAAAAAGCGTTGGGCATTATCATTTTCAGAAGTGGCAGAAGAAGCAAAGTGAGGCCTGCTTTAAAAGCCTAAAGCCAAGGCTTCAATTATACGTTTAAAGCAACCCAAAAAAAAAAAAAAAAAAGAAAACATGTCACCAACTTTGAGCTACAGAAAATCAACACTGCAGTGAGTGACCCATTTCTCCCTGCCTTTCTTTATTCACAAGCCACCCTTTCTTTTCTCTCTCTCTCTATAACTTTTCCCTCTGTCTCTGTTTCTGGGTCATCATAGAAAGAACCACCCCAAGTTTGCATCTCAAGGAAAACAAAAAAAATGAACCAAAAAAAATAAAAAAGAAAAGAAAAGTTTGATTATCATTTTAAGCATCTAATTTTGTTAAATCTCCTATAATTTCCTTGTGTTAACAAATGCTATCTTTATTTTTTTTTAGTCGATATTTAAAACAAAGAAGTCATATGACATTATCATAAAAACTAAAGTCTGGCTTGATTCTTTTCTATTTTTGTTATTGAAAACTCCTTTTTTTTTTTCTTTTGCATATACTTTTTAAGGCAATTTTCAAAATTCAAGTTGAAATTTGAAAACTAAAAAAAGTAATTTTGAAAATTTTGTTTTTATTTTTTGAAATATGGCTGAAAATACAAATGTGTTTCTAGGAGGAGTCAAAACATACCACAAAAATGTGAGCAACCAAATATGATTTTCAAAATAAAATGGTTAATTAAAACTTGAACACCGAATAGAAATGAGGGCTAAAATAGTAATTTAGCATGATGAAGGAGGATTAAACGGGAGAGAAAACATGAAAGAATGCTGAATGTCTGAGAAAACTAAGAATGTCTCACGACAGTGTGGATTTAAAAGCAAGTAAAATTTTGAGCTGGTCGGCATTAAATTTATACCTCAAATATTAAAAAA